GACATGGTAATGGATTATTATGACTAAGTGTTGGCCATGGTAATGGATTATTGTGAGTAAGTGTTGGCCATGGTAGTGGATTAATGTGAGCAAGTTTTGGCCATGATAATGGATTAATGTGAGTAAGTGTTGGCAATGGTAATAGGTTATTGTGAGTAAGTTTTGGCCATGGTAATGGATTATTGTGAGTACGTGTTGGCCATGGTAATGGATTATTGTAAGTAAGTGTTGGCCATGATAATGGATTATTGTGAGTAAGTGTTGGCCATGGTAATGGATTATTGTAAGTAAGTGTTTGTCATGATAATGGATTAATGTGAGTAAGTGTTGGACATGGTAATGGATTATTGTGAGTAATTGTTGGTCATGTAAATGGATTATTGTGAGTAAATGTTGGACAATGTTATCGATTAATGTGAGTAAGTGTTGGACATGGTAATGGATTATTATGACTAAGTGTTAGACATGATAATGGATTAATGTGAGTAAGTGTTGGCAATGGTAATAGGTTATTGTGAGTAAGTTTTGGCCATGGTAATGGATTATTGTGAGTAAGTGTTGGCCACGGTAATGGATTAATGTGAGTAAGTGTTGGTCATGATAATGGATTAATGTGAGTAAGTGTTGGATATGGTAATTGATTTTTGTGAGTAAGCGTTGGCCATGGTAATGGATTATTGTGAGTAAGTGTTGGCCATTGTAATGGATTAATGTGAGTAAGTGTTCTCCATGATAATGGATTAATGTGAGTAAGTGTTGGCCATGCTAATGGATTTATGTGAGTAAGTGTTGGTAATGGTAATGGATTTTTGTGAGTAAGCGTTGGTCATGGTGATAGATTAATGTGAGTAAGTGTTGGACGTGGCATTGGATTAATGTGAGTGAGTGTTGGACATGGTAATGCATTATTATGAGTAAGTGTTGGACATGATAATGGGTTAATGTGAGTAAGTGTTGGACGTGGTAATGGATTGATGTGAGTAAATGTTGGCCATGGTAATGGATTATTGTGAGTAAGTGTTGGCCATGGTAATGGATCAATGCGAGTAAGTGTTGGACATTGTGATGGATTAATGTGAGTAAGTGTTGTGATATGGTAATGGATTAATGTAAGTAAGTGTTGGCCATAGTAATGGATTAATGTGAGTAAGTGTTGGACATGGTAATGGATTAATGTGAGTAAGTGTTGGCCATGATGGTTAATGGATTAATGTAAGTTTTTACCAAAGTGGTTAATGGAAAAATGTAAGTAAGTTTTTTCCAAAGTGGTTAATGGATTAATGTAAGTAAGTTTTTACCAAAGTGGTTAATGGAATAATGTAAGTAAGTTTTTACCAAAGTGTTTAATGAATTAATGTAAGTAAGTTTTGACCAAAGTGGTTAATAGATAAATGTAAGTAAGTATTGACCGAAGTGGTTAACGGAATAATGTAAGTAAGTATTGATTGAAGTGATTAATGAATTAATGTAAGTAAGTATTGGCCATGATGGTTAATGGATTAATGTAAGTTTTTACCAAGTGGTTAATGGATAAATGTAAGTAAGTATTGACCGAAGTGGTTAATGGATTAATGTAAGTAAGATTTTTCCAAAGTGGTTAATGGATTAATGTGAGTAAGTATTGGCCGAAGTGGTTA